GAGTCAGGAACTCTCAACAACACCTCAGTTTTTGCGTCGCTGAGCAAGCGCTGCGGGCAACTTTATTCCGGCTCCGCTGCAAGTTTTGACACAGATTTAAGCGCAACTCCCTCTCCGAGTCCATTACTCAGTGTCTGATATTCTTCTAAGCCCCGGATTACTTTTGCTCCCCACAAGCTGACCATAATACCAGGCTTGTGGAGCCAATGCGGCCTGCAGGGTTCGGTCTGAAACCGCTCAATGAGCGCAAGGATCACGATTAGTGTTCGCAGATCAAGGACGTCCGACCAAAACTGATGCCTGACGGGCTCTTCAATCACATGCAGTCAGAAAGCAAGAAACTATTTGAATGCGGGGTTACAACCGATGATTATTTTAACAATGACGTCGTGTGTTGATTTACTTCAATGTGTCAGAAATAGTAAAAAGCACAAAACGCTCGTTGCCATTGGTCACAAGCCCTTATGTTTTTATCTAAACTACTCACTAAGTGGTAACAGTGGAAACAACTGTTAAACTACTTTGCCTGTTATTGATCAAACCCCTAAAAACTCATCTTTAAGTACCAAAAAACATATATCTAAAAGTTTTTTCCTTGTAAAATGACTTCTACTACATTGATTCCTCTAGAATGTTCAAGTTCCCTCCTCTATCTCCACCCATCCCTCCACTTTTTGCTGCAGCTCCAGCACACCAGCTCACCTATGACCTTGCACAAACACTGTAAAACGAATCAGTGCTACACAATGACAAACTGTACCACTGGAGATATGCAGCCCTTGATGTTTGAACTGGAAACCAACACAGAGGAAGAATAATGACACACAAACCACATTGCAAACTGGCAGGGTTGGTTCCTTAGGTTGGTATGAAATCCCAGATGTCTGAATCTGTGTTTTGGATCGTCATCGTTGTGCTGCAGTTTTAAGGCGGATATACTCAGCCATGGCGTTGACTGCTTATTTCGCTCATGTTATGTCTTCATGCATATAAAAAAAGCACCATATGGACATGTTAACAAGGTTAAAAACTTGATTTTTACTGGAGGGGATCTTTAAAATTGGGTGGTTCCTGTGTAAAATTCAAAGTATTATCTTACAGGCCTATTATTTCAAGCAAAGCCTGTGCAGTTTCTCCAGTTCATTAATTGGCTTTTCACTGTTTGGCCCTTCACACACTTTACACAACTGCAGGGGATAGCTGCTTGGCAAGCATGTGTGTAGATATCTATGTGTGTGTATGTGTGGGGGTGTGTTTTCTGAGGTTTGGAATGATTTACACAACCCCACACTTGATTAATTCCAGTATGACAGAACAAACTTGCCTGTGTGTACACATGTTGGTCTTAGGTATTAGGCTGACAGAGCCGTACAGACAGAACAGTGTTGACACACTAATAGATGGAGGTCTCACACACACACACACAGACACACACATAAAAACACACAAACCCTTCACATTTGTGCTTGTGTTTCTTATTAGTTTCATTTAATCTAATGCCAATCTGAGCTCCAAGCAAAACCCCGGTCGGGACACAAGACATGTGTGATTGCTGCACGACCCCCCTGAAGCCAGCAGCAAGCCATCCTGGAGGTATACACACACTATCTGTATTTACAGATTTATGCACTGTAAATGTGAGAACCTGCACTGAAAGTTACCTACTATCCATTAAACAGCTTTCAAACTTTCCTTTGCTACTTTCTGGACTGGATTCCTTCTGCTTCTAACCAAAAAAAAAAAGGTGAAACAGCACATCCTGAGCTCTTCAAACAGCTTTACTGCTGTGATCAGATGAGGTATTTTAGCCGAGGAGTCAATGGCTCTAAATCCAGAACACCCTTTGGTCGCTGAGCAAAAAGGTTTTCCAGGAGACTGTCCAACAATATCAAAACAATCTCCAGGCTGGATTTCCTCTCTGGCACTGAAACCCCCACTGGAGAACGGGAATCTGGGTTGCATATGAGATAAATAAAGAACTGTAAGATGAGGTTTCATGCTTCTAATGGAGAGACACTGCTCTGAAAAATGAATCTGTCAATGTAGAAGTGGTGCACAAACAAAACAAAAAAAGAAGTCAGCGGTGCTAAAAGTGATGCAACAAAAAGTCGAGGACGCATTAATAATCTATTCACTTCTGCTGCCAAAGCCAGGCGCAGAATGTCATCCTCTGTCTTTCGTTGGAACCTGAAAGGTCATCTCCTTCAGATCTGAATCACATCCTCACATCTGATTCACATCCTCCTCAGCCAGAACATTTTCCTCCTCTCCTCGCTTCACTGCGACATGTTTAAACAAAATCAACCTTTTCACCCGGGCTGTCATTTGTTAAACTTGTATCAGGCTTCACCGTTAAGGCAGCCTGACTCAGCGGATGTAGATTGTGAGTATAAGATTGGAACTGGCTGCGCTTTTCACACGACTTTCTCCTTCCCATCCGCTACCTACAAGTTACCATTTTCAAAGTCTTCTTCACTATGAGCCACAAAAACCTCCGTACACTTTCACATTTTGCTTTCAAGGACTGCAATTTCTTTTCTCCCCTCCAGTAGAATGATGATGAGGTGCAGCCAGACCGTTCTACACAGCAGTGGAGAATGGTCTGGCTATGTGAGACTATACTGTTAAGTACACAAAGGCCTCATTAGTTTATTGTTTTCTGCAAATGTGCTTTTTTGACAACACGTAGAATAAGAAAATTGATACTATTCTCATCTTTGCATTGGCGAAAATGAAGCTTAGCACAAACACAAAAGCAGGAGGAATAACGTTCCATCTACAACTAAACAAAGTACCTAAAAGTCACTTAATAACAAGTTATTTCTTTGTTTAAATAACACAAATATCCAAAAGGTGGCAGTCATGGTGACAACAAGACTCCGCACTTCTATAGATCAGACTAACTTTTTCACTGGTGTGACCAATTTTCTCAAAACATATGACTTGCTGGGCATTTTCTCATCGATAGGCTCAACAATTTACCCTAAACACCCCAAATTGCAGGCTGTGGTAACTGCTGTTGGTATCTGTGGTTTGCTCAGACCGGTGTGCGACCAAAACGGACTCTAAAAAGAGTGAACTAATGTCAGATTTATCCAAGAAGAGTGTTATTTTTTGTAAACATGTGGCCATTTTTCACGAGAACACCTCATTTTAAAGCGTAAATATCTCAGTAAATCAAAGTAATAAAAGTTCTGTTTCCCACCACTGGGGTTACCACAGCAGCTTCATGTGCCGGTTACAGCGACACTCATACAGCTTCATGATCATCATGCACTCGCACCAATGTGACCGCTTGAAATTTTAACTAGCCCTGGACTTGTTGATGAGCTTTACAATCACTGAACGTAGCCAGGCCGGCTGCTTTTCTCCAGCATTAAAGCCGTACACTAACAAGCTGCTGCAAGTAATTCCCAAAAGCTATTAATTTAAACCCCACACACACACAAGCTACAGAGCAAAAGAAAACAAAGGATCCTGTCCAGCATCTATTGGTAGCAATCAGTGTTGAGCCCCAAAGCAGGCAGTAGTCAAACCAAGCATACCGATCATTTCAGCTACTGCCTGACTCGACTCTCCCATGTGGTCCGAATGGGTGACCAATTAACAGCAGCTTAACTTCTGAGTCCAAACACCTATCTCTCTCTCTCTCTCTCTCTCTCTCTGTTTCTCACACACATACATGCATGCATGAACACAGAAGCAGGGACGGACATGCACAGGAAAACCACACATGCATGCACACAATCATACAAAGTAACACACATCCACAGGCAGCCAGTACCACACACAGACAAGGACACACTCACACACACACTCACACAGATACATACTCATTAACAAAGGCTTAGCATTGCAGAGTGTATACCCCCAGCAAAGTGTAGCATAGTCTGGCTGACTGGCCTCCCACAGAGGGGGAATACACCTCAGTCACCTGATCCTCGGCTGCTCTGATCCCGGCTCAGAGGCGGTTAACAGGAAGCCTTTATGGGACTGAGAGTTCACTATGAGGGACACCGTGCTTCAAAACACCCTAAAAAAAAAGGTCAAATTCAAGCTAAAGAGCAGGTCAAAGTCATTTTTCTACACGTGGTTTGTTGTATAAAATGCATAATAATGCCTCAGATGATGGCTTGCTGCTCGCACTGCAGCATCTCTGCAAATCTCTCCCACCACTAGATGCCACCACTGGCTTCATTACAGAGCAAGTCCACCTTAACACGTCACTATAGGACTCACATTCCCTATTAAGCTTTTTTTTTCTATCTGCTCTCTCACCATATTCTTTGCATTTTGAGTTAAAAGGAACAATTTAATTCAAATAAAGGAGACTGAAAATCTCCAAAGATGTTGCATCTGTTTCAACTTGGATTAAAAAGTGATGAGGCGGGGGGGAAAGCCTTCCTCACTAACTTACTTAAATGTTCTGTGTGGTTGGAGTGATGTGGCTTCACTTTGTGTTGTCTCTGTGGATTTGGCCTGTGGTCTGTCAACACTGATATGATTCTGAGTTTAAGATACAGCGTCTGAACTCGTTAAAAAGAAGGAAAAAAAGAGGGGAAAAGAGCAGACAGACAGGCCGAGAGAGAAAGCCAGAGATCCCACCTGAGTGACAAGCAACAGCTGAGTCCACACATCTGGAAACTAAAACGCAACCCTCCATTAAGTGCGTCTTTACGCACTCACGTTCCAAGTAAAAAATCCCCCCCGATCTCAGCCCCACACTCACTTTTTTCTCTCTCTTCTACTTCAGAGGAAAATATGTTCCTAGAATCTCCTCAATTAAACTCTTTTCTTCTCTTTTTTTAGTGCGAAGTAATGAAGAGACAAACCATCTCGCGATCTTAATGGTGCGTAATGATTTCCAAAAGATGAACGCAAACGAGACTTCACGAACTATTGAGAACCCTCTACATGCGCGGGTTGCATCTAGAGAGAAAAGGTTTTAAAAAGTGGGGAAAAAATGAACAAAAATAACGATTCTTGGGTCAGAAACTCACCTCTAAGAAGCAACAACTCTGTGCAGACGCGGGTTGAATATTCCGTTTTTTTATCGAGAGATAATCACGACTGTGGAGGCATCCGGCCGGACTGCAAGCGACAAACACAACTCGGTGCCGTTTCGAGTCCTGAATCAGCTCAGTGATGGAGTTCTTTCAGTGCATGGTCATGCGTAGAGAGAGAGGGAGAGAGAGGGTGACGCTCACCAGGGCTGAGCGCTGCGCAGCTCTGGCACCAAGTTAAAGCGTCCAGAAATGACATTAGCTCTGCACCGCGCCTATTGGCTTAAACATGGAGCTCCCCCCCTCCTCCTCCATTCTCCCTCCTCCACACACACATGCCTCCCTCTCTTTCTCACGTAGAGGCTGAAACATCTCCTATACTTCAGCCATGAGTTTGTGGGTATGTTTTAGAAGAAAAAGCAGCCACACAAGATCTAAACTTTAAAAAACTACAAGGTTCCCATTAGATTATAGGTGTTCGAAATACAATCAAGTTCAATAAGTTCATCATAAACTCACTAATTAACCATAATAGATTGGTGTATGAGTTTTCTAAGGAATCTGTGATCGGATAGACTACTTCCAAGAGTGCCAGATTGACTCTTACAGCTGATTTATGGAGGCTGTAAAGGTGCTGATGTGTTTGCCTGACAGTCTGTGGCATGTGTGACGGACTGCATCACATGAGCCACGCACGCACCATGCAGCAGCCTCCTGAAACTCAAAACTGGCACTTCATCATCAGGTCTAGAGCCGTTGTGTACAGTATCGCATGTTATTCCAAGCCTGCGGCGAAAGCATGTGTGTCCGGTGGCTCAGCGATCCGAAGCGGCTTCATTTAACAGACTGTTAATCGAAAGTGAAGTCAGCTATCGTGTTGGATCTTCTGTTTTCTTGGATAGTGAACCTACGAGCTTCAGTGAAAGGCAACTGGACTTCTGAATTTTCTAATTCTCTCTTGGATGAGAGGTGAAGAACCAAATAGAGTTGCCTTCTACTGAAGCTCTTACGATTTCCACAACTTGGATGACAAAGAATCTAGACACAGACATACCAGAAAGTGACGAAAGGTGCTATCCCCATCAGCAGCTACCGATGTTAACACCCCGCTTCTCAACTGTAGCATTTCAGTGCTTAATTTATGGATTGTGCTCAGGTGGGAGTGTGTAGGTGTATGATAATAAAGCAATGCAACGCTGAATGTTCTGCACACTTTCCCCGCACAGATAAACAATCCAAAATAGCTTTGTTCCACTGTTCTTGTTGAAAAATGTTAACTTGTTAAAGACCTCAAGAAAGAATCCCTATATTGTGACCTCGCTGCAGTTGGAAGGTTTAAAACTTGAGAGGCGTTGCTGGCTGCGTGCACAATCATCAGTCAAAACAACCAAAAAAATGGTGTTTCCATTAGCAGGCATGTTAGTCAAAACTGAGCTGAAGACAATATGGAAAAATACATGTTGCTCTTGGGGGTCACTGGTATTGTTTGATATTAGTATTCTTATGGTCTGGAGCAATGTCTAGGTGGGTGGGACATGTCAGAGTAGCACAAGAATGTAAAAACCCAAAGTTTCCCAGCTGAATTTTCCATTGTACACTGTAAAAAAATTTAAATAAATTATGGACAATTTATTGTAATTTCACACATTTTTCTGTTTTGTTAAATTACAGATTAAAAACAAGTAAAATCTGAGAAATAATAAAAAAAATAATCTACATGCTGTATATAAATCACAGATGTTTACCATTGTTCTGACTGTTTTTAGAGATTTTGAAAGTTAAAGTATTTCACCATTTTTAACATATTTTTGGCACCATTACTGCCAAATTGTTTGACAATTTTTGGATGGATTATTTTTTTAATTATTATTTTAGTTTAGTTTTTACAGTGTAAAAAACATCTTTAAGCGTATTTAATTCACCTGTCTGTGATCGTAATGCTGGGGTTCATGTGTATACTAAAATAGAATTAATAGAGTTATAATAGGATATTTTGGGGGAATTAAAAAAAAAAAAAATCACCACTATCATGCAAGGTACCAAGGTCATAGTGAAAACATTTTTTAAAAGTGACATAAAATGATCAGGAGCCTTACTTGTGACCTTGTTAGGTTTGCTTTTGAACAATAAGATACTCTTCTGGACACATGGCCACATAAACGTCAAGTTCTTAATAGCCTCACACACAACACATTGATTTGTGCCGCTCAGCATTTGGACTGAAGTTCGGGCCTCAGCTGTGGAGTCGGGGGAGCGAGGCTGGCTGTTTGAACGTTCGTGAAGCTGGCAGTGGGACAGACAGCGCAGGTCAAACAGTATGGCTTATTGTCCCTGCCAGCCAGTCGGCCGGCCCACACAGCGAGGGACCCGTGGACGCCCTCGTTCACCCTGCTGGCTGCCGCTCTGACATTCAGACAGCTGTATTTACAACTAACATTTCATATTTTAGACTTGGGGAATTACAGTGATTGCTGCTGTAGAAAAAAAAAAAAAATCTTATTCACAGAACGCCAGGAATGAAAACGAGCCCCTGGCCACAGTTTTTTTTCTGTGTGTGTTGAATGTTGCACAAAAAGAAGCAGAAGAGATTTTCACATTGTTGCACTCAAATCACCTGTAGTGCGTCACATTATACAGACACACGCAGCTCTTGAACTTTTTATGGGCGAAATCTGATCATCTTCGGCGTCCCGATCGCTCTCTTTCCACCTGTTCTCCCCGCCTCGGCGCAGAATAGAGCCGGCCTCTGTGCTTTGCTTCGGCTCTTTGTGCTCGCACACAGACATCTGTAACATTAAGCCTATTTACAGCAGACAGAGAGAGAGCGAGGGAGAGAGAGAGAGAGGGGTATAAAAGGTAAGCCTATAGGCCTACACATGCAGCCGGAGAGGAAGCGAGGATCAGCGCAGTGTGGAGAGCACAAAAGGGGCCTCTGGGTCACTAAATCCTGCCCCTGTCACCTTCTGGTGTGTGGAAACACAGCACGGCTGATGAAAGTGTCAGAGCCAGACGCAGCGAGTTGTACGTTCCTGATCCCGTCTTTTCTCCTCGCCCCATTCTTCTCTTTTCTTTACGGAGCGCTGCTTTGAAAACAATCCGGATTGATGTGGGACTGCGCACTTTGTGACGGCGGCTTGGGTGTCACGAGCGATGAATGGCTGCATGAAGGGGTTATCTTCCTATCAGCATATCTGCTTTTCAATAAAAAAAACCTTATCTGAGCTACGCCAGGCTCATCTGTCATGCAGCGGCCTAGTTAGTAAGCTACCGCAGGTATTTGTTGGGGAAAATGTGATTTTTTTGCTTCTCCTGTCATGTCTGGGGATGACTTTAAGAGGGGAAATGTGCGAGTTTAACTACAGTAATTCAGCACTGGGCTGAAAAGCGATATCCACCCATTAAAAGCCACCCACCGTGTCGTTAACGTGACTAATGAATTTCTGCATTAAAGTGACATTTAACCCCGCGAAACCATCACAGATGAGCCGGCTCGTGCCTGGGTTATGACCAGCTGGAAAAACCTACAAATAGGCACCAGTCACGCTCTGTAAATCCACATTTTTTGGCTCTAAAAGCTCCAGATATTAGCTTTAAATCAAGCAGCTATGGGATCATTAAGCAATGCGCTCGGAAAGTTGAGTTTCCTTTCCTGGTCGTGACCCACTGGCCCCCTCTTTCTGTGACCTTGTATAACCCAGCTTCAAAACCTCCAGCAGCCCCCTTTTTTGTGAGAGTGAGGTAAGTGTTTCCAGATTTGGCCTGAAGGAAAAGTGTCAATCAAGCTGTGGGAATTTAGTTTCGTAAGATCCCCCAAAACATCATCTGGAGGAGACGGCGAGCAGGAATGTCATCTGAATCATCCTCTATCTTTGCTGTTATGACGGCCTGGCTAAAAATAAGATCAGGAGTGAGCTTTTCCCTCCTTGCAATAAATCACACACACAATGGATTTCACAAGCATGTCTGGTCAGTCACTGTCACTTGTGTTTATCTCCTTTCCAGTCTGGGTTTCTTTTTCTCCCCTGTTATTTGTCTATCTGCCTGTGTCATCTCTGCTGTTACCACAGGCAGAATTTGGGTTGTGTTGGGGGGGAGTTCACTGTTATCACTGTGCTGTCATCAGATGCCTCAGTTCACTCAAGTCGGGGAGGATTCGGTTACTGTAGTGCTTGCAGGTCTTTTTGTGAAATATGTACACGCAAAATTGAGCTGTTGTTTTTTGCTGGATGGGAAAAAAAGGACTTTTATATTTTCAAAAGGGTCAAAAAAAAAAAATATGTAGAATATAAGCTTGCAAAAAATGATGTGTCGAAAGATCCGCATTGTTGTGAAATGCGCATTTGGTCGAGGGTGTTTTAATGTGCTGCAAAGAGGCTAAACAGTTATGAACGTACGATGTATTTGTGCAGACTCATAAAAGAAAACTCTGCAGATCAAAGGCTGAGCTGAGCACAAACACGCCGACACACTCCCACGGTTGGTGCATCAGCTGCTAGCTGGCCTTCAGCTAACACGCAGTTGCTACATTGGCTGGTTGGAGAGAATAAACACAAGGTCAGAGTCAAATTCTTGTGAGTGACATTAGGGCGAAAAAATCCTTTCGCTTTCTGTGTTTTTGAACGCGCCTCGTATATCAAGGTTTAGGTTGCGGAAGCAAAATCTCAACATCCTGGGTTCAAATCCAGCCTAATAAAGATGTAATCAGGGTGTGTTTTGTTCCATTGTACAGTTTATCTCCCTTTACTTGATGTTTTCTGGAGGAAAACAACAAAACTGATACTGCTCTCATGTCTATGAACTGCAGTGGATTAGCTCAAAGCAGCACGCTGATTTGAGTCTACAGTTTGCCGCAGTTTGATCCTTTTGTTGTTTGCACAGAAGAAACATGTTAATTAGTGAGCGGATGGCTTCGGTTCAGGTGGTAGAGCAGGTTATTCCCTAATTGCAAGGTTCAGCCCCGGCCCTTTCACATGCAGAAGTGTTCCTGGGAAACCAACTGATCTGTCTCGTTGGAATGTCGCTGCACAATCTCATGTACTTTTGTGACCACTGGTAGGTACATCCATGAACCGCAACCTGGAGCAAAGAAGAAAACATCAAATTCTGTGTCAGTCAGCAGCCAGATGATCCAACCTTCATGTGAGGAAGGGTCTGCAGTTTCCAAAACCAGACCAGGTGGGTCG